CCTCTTGCCGTGGCCTGGGGATTGCAACACACTGATTGGCTCGGGCTTCAGTCCCACAGCTACTCCTGGAACTGGGAGTGTGGTAGGTGACCAGGTCCCCTCAACCGCGGGGACTACGTGGGAAGGGGACTCACCCAGGCCCCTGAAGATGTAGACTCCGAAAGGAGGGAGGAAATGGAAACTGGCCTGCTTTGAACCGACTCACATCCTGAGGGTCCACGATTTAGAGCGAGTTCATTAGGAGTGTGTGCAGATCAATTTGGAGTAGGAATGTGCGAGCTCTGTTAAGTGGCAGGTTCTAGAAGGGCAGAGAGTTTCTTGGTGTTAACGTGGAGTGGGGGTGGAGTCTGGTGGGGGTGCAGAGTGGGCTTGCGTTTGAGAGTGAGCAGGAAGTATCTGGAGACAGCTGGCGCCTTGCCTCCTGGCAGGCACGGGTGGTTCAAGGTGACCGCCAGGGAGCTTTGTTCTGGGGCAGCCTTTGGCCTTGGCCGTGGGAACATCAACCTCTCTGAGCCCTCTTTTCCTCAGTTGTGAGGCAGGCAGCGGCACCTTATAGAGTGCTTGATGAGCTGTGACACGTGATCGTATGTGTAAACGACTTAGCCCAGCAAGAGCTCACCTGTCGTGGACTGGTATTAATTAGAAAAGACAGGTTAGAGTGTCCACACTCAGAGAAGACAGAGCAGGACTGGGTGAAGTTATTCGGGCTGGAGAACTATCCGTTTTCTGTTTTCTCCCGTTCTCCCTCCCTGAAGCAGGATGACACTGTTCTCCAGCCCCAGGACCCTTGGAGTCTGCGGGAAATGCTCACTGACTGGTCACGCATTTCTCTGCTTCTGACTTGGGCACTGCTAGGAAAGGAGGGGTTCGCCTCCTCTGGTGACAAATATGTGGGGAGCCTCCCATCCCGCCCCACCTGAATGCATGCGTAGCTTGTGCATTGACTGTGACCGCCCCCCTCCACCGAAGGCACTTGTCCCTGGAGGCCTCTGTCCATGCGTCTGGGTCTCTTCAACCTCTCACTGGGTCCCAGTTTCCCTGTTAACACATCCAGCCACGGAACAGTGACATCGCTCCTTGTTTGTGATGTTTCTGTGTCTCAGAGAGCTGATCATTTGAAATGTAATTTCTTCAGCTCATTACGTCAGAACTGGCATTTAAAGCATGCACAAGGGCCCTTGTTAGTGGCCTCTTGTCCCTAGTCAGGGTCCTCCTAGTGAAACAGGACCAAGAGGGTCAATGGATGGATGGATGGATCGATCTATCTTTCTAAGAGCCATGGAACATATATCAATATGTAACACCTGAATTATATTATTAAAACGTTAATCTCTTGTATATAATCAGTCAATAGATTTATATATATATGTATATATACATGTATACATATACATATATATATATATTTTTTTTTTTTTTAAGTAATTGGCTTACAAGATTAAGGAGGCTGACAAGTTCCAAGATTTGCAAGGAGAACGTGCAATCTAGAAACCCAAGAGCTTGCAGTGGTGTAAGTTCCCATCCCAAGGCTGGCAGGCCTGAAACCCAAGAAAAGCTAGCTTTTCAGCTTAATTGTCAACATAGGGAAGAAACAAACAAAAAACAATGTCCCAGCTCAAAGGCAGTCAGGCAGGGAGGTCAGTCTTTATGTTCTGGTCAGACCTTCAGCTGATTGGATGAGGCCCACCACACCGAGGAGAGCAGTCTGTTACTTAGTCTGTCAATTCAGATGTTAATCTTATCCAGAAATACCCTCACAGAAACACCCAGAAGTAATGTTTGATGAAATGCCTGAACGCCTTGTGGCAGTTGACATACAGAATTAATTTAACATATAGAATTAACCATTACACCTTTGGTGTAATCTTGGGGTTTAAAATTATTTGCTGAGGTCACATGGTTGGAATGGGTGGCATTAAACCAAGTAGGCCGTGACATTCTAGAAGCTGGTGGTGTTTTCCAGTTTCTCCCCTGGGTAACTGTTCAAGGGTCTTACTTTAAACTAGCTAAGTTAATTTTCTCATGACGAGACTCTATAAAGCATCGGGAAGAAGGGAGGTGATTTTAGGGGTGATAGGGATCCACTCCCATGAAGCAGAGCTAAAGTCAGAGCCTCCAGAACCTTCTTCCAGAGTCAGCAGTCAGTCCTGCTCCAGGGCCGATGACTAAATTAGGTTTCAAGTTCCGAGTGTACAACGAGGTTTTCAGATCAGATTTCGCGTTTTCTAGGCTTCCTTGTACCCGAAAAAGAGCTACAAACAGCACTGTGATTCCTCAGCCCGAAACCATCAGGCTGTCAGTCTCTTTGGGCAAAAACCTTTGCAAAGCCAGGCTTTGCAGAGAGCTCTGAACAGCTGTGAGCCGTCTGGGTGGAGATGTGGGGCTGTTTTCCTGACAAAGGTGTGGTGTGAGGGTCTGCGTAGATGGGGATGTTGACCCGTCTTCAGGGCTTGGGGATGGGTGGTTCCTTGTGCCTTTGTCTTGGGTGGCTTGTGGCATCTGGAGCTGTTTCTAATCTCCCCTGTCCAGTATCGGAGATGGAGTTGGTCAAGGATTATGAGTCAGCTAGGGCAGAAGGCAGAGACTTACTTTACTCCTTTGGGGGGAGGTGGATAGAAAAGAAGTCTGTTGAGGGTTGAGAATGTAGGACTAGTGGTGTTTACAAGGTTAGTGTTTATACTCTTGCATAAAGCCTCCTTCTAAAATGCCATTGTCCAGGACCACTGGGGAGGTGACTGGCTGTGCCCCTCTTACCCCCCAAGCTTGGTACTGGTACCATGCCTCACCTCACGTTTGAAATACAAGCAATCACAGCCATGCCTCTGTGTGTGTGTGTGTCTGTCCAGGTAGGGCAGATAGCTTTATGGCAGGGTGTGGTGATCACCAGACTTTTTATTTTTAATGTTTCATATCTTTTTGAGAGAAGGCAAATGGAGGGGCAGAGAGAGAGGGGGTGGGGACAGAGGATTCGAAGTGGGCTCTGTGCTGACAGGCTGACAGCAGTGAGCCCGATGTGGGACTCAAACTCATGAACCGCGAGATCATGACCTGAGCCAAAGTCGGATGCTTAACTGACTGAGCCACCCAGGTGCCCCAATCATCAGAATTTATAGCTGGTTTCTCCCTGTCTCTCGAAGTCTCTCCCTGAAAAACCACAAGGAGCAGGTACTAGAGGTTGTATAGGGTGCTTTATGCCGAAGATACAGGTATACATACAGATAAATATCTACTTTTTCAACCTTTTTTTTTTTTTTAATTTATTTTTGGGACAGAGAGAGACAGAGCATGAACGGGGGAGGGGCAGAGAGAGAGGGAGATACAGAATCGGAAACAGGCTCCAGGCTCCGAGCCATCAGCCCAGAGCCTGACGCGGGGCTCGAACTCGCGGACCGCGAGATTGTGACCTGGCTGAAGTCGGACGCTCAACCGACTGCGCCACCCAGGCGCCCCAAATATCTACTTTTTCTACGTAAGTGACACTTTCATGTTTTTGGTAAATCATACCAGGTAAGACAAGAACAATTTGCTGTTGCTAAGACATTATGAGAAACCTGACAGTTGGGACGCCTGGGGGGGTTCAGTCAGTTAAGCATCTGACTTCGGCTCAGGTCATGATCTCATGGTTCGTGGGTTCGAGCCTCGCATCTTGCTCTGTGCTGACCGCTGACAGCCTGGAGCCTGCTTCGGATTCTGTGTCTCCCTCTCTCTCTATTGCCCCTCCCCTGCTCGTGCTCTGTCTCTCTCAGTAATAAAGAAATAAACTTAAAAAATGATATATAAAAAAGAAACCTTAAAATGAATTTCTTATTTCATCATTTTACAAACGGAGCAAAGAATTTCTGCATGTGGGGAACAAAGAGGTCTTGCGTGTATCCTGGATGTGGTCACCACCTGGGAAGAGCTGACAGTCTGCAGGAGGAATGTGCAGACTGTACGATTCTTCAGTGCCCCATTTATGATTATTTGCAGGGAGGAGGTTGTCTGGCTTCTCATAGACAGTATCAAATGTAGTCAAAACGGAGAGACACCGTAGAATACAAGGCATTTGGGAAAATAGTCAAGATAGTGGAGAAATAAATGCAAAGAGCATCAGTAGTCATGATAATAGTATTATTCCCAGTGGCATTATAAACTTTCAGCCCTGCCCTGATAAATGTAGCATCCTTCGTGCAGAGTGACTAACGCCAGAGACCGAAGGACGTGTCTTAGCACTTTCCCGGTGGCTCGCGGTGGCCCTTTACCATCCCAGAGGTAAAAGCTTCGTGTTATAACTCACTGTCCCCATAAATCCTCATGCTGGAAATGATATTGACTTGTTTTTTTTATAAGCCCTTGTCATCTGAGAGAGGCTATAGCACTTCTGTTTGTTTATTATTTTTACTAACAGTAATTTTTGCTGAGAGCCTCCTGTGTGTAGGCTCCTTGAATTCACCATCTCATTTAATTCTCTCTTGCCTGTGAGGGGCAAATACTGTCTGTATCCTATTTTATTTAGGAGGAAACTGAGGCTTAGGGAGATTAACCGACTTGCCTGAGATCACACAGGTGGAGAGTGCCTGAGCCTTGACCCAGATCCCACCTGGTTGGCCTGTCGGTGCCACCTGTGACATCTATGCTTGGGGAGGTGGGGGGAGGGGGCAAGGGGACAGATGTGTTACGCCCATGCACACCCAGGGCTGGATCCTGTCTTCATTGAACATTTTCATCTTTGGCTCATCGCAGATTTTCTTTGCATTAATTTTGCCCTTTTAAAAATACTGCATTGGGGTACTATTTATTTGCTCACTGGGCTTTTCAGTGCTCAGGGCAGGCATGATCATCTCCACTTTGCAGGTGAGGACCAAGAGGATTGGCGAGGTCCAGAATCTGTAAGAGTTCCCATGGCCGAAAGGGAGGGAGCTGGGACGTCTGCCAGGGCTGCCCGGAGCAAGCGGGAGGGGGCAACGTCACTTACCTCTGGGCATCATAGAGTTCTCAGGAACGTGCCTCCCTTCCTCCAGGTCGGGAAAGAGGTTGAAGAAGACCCGCAAGTATGACATCATCACTACTCCAGCCGAGCGAGTGGAAATGGCCCCGCTGAACGAAGAAGATGATGAGGATGAGGACTCCACGGTATTTGACATCAAATACAGGTACGGGGGTTGGGGGGGGGCAGCAGCTTGCTTCCTCCTCGGGCCCTCGGGTGTTGGGGTGGTGGGACGGTTCACCTTGGAAAACAACGCAAAGCCAGGTGTGGCGTCCATGTGTCCTTGTTCTTTGGTTATGTGTTTGACCTTGGGGCGTTCTGCTTATGGGGGGGAACCGCTTTGATCCCTTCCTAGAACGCACAGCACCCAGAAAGCTGGCAGAGAAATGGTTATTCCCACTTTCCCCAAATGCGAACGCTGGAGGAATCAGCTTTGCGTGAAGAAAAGGGGGACTGAATGTCAGACGACGAGCTTGTCGCGCACTGCCTGCGGGGACCTGGTTCCGGCAGCTGCCTGTGCCACAGACTGCCCACAAATGGGCACTTCTCTTTCAGCCACTCTAAAACCGATGGCTGAGAGCGTGGAGTGGGGCGAGGGTTACTCCTTGGCTGGAATTTACCGATGAGAAAGGGAGCCTGTAGGAAAGTCAGAATGACTCTGTGACTTCAGGATTGTAGTTTGCGTTTGGATTCTTTGGGAGCGTGCTCTTTGGATGTATGAGATTCTCAATGTAAGGACGGGGGTGAGCGCAGATTAGAGATGAGGGCTCAAAGCCTCAGAGAAGAGGAAGTTGTTTGCTTAAGTTTCCAGTTATTGCCGACAAAGGGGAACTACAGGTCCAGGCTGGACCCAATCCTGAGTTTTCCCTGGACAGCTCTCCAGAGAAACAGAACCAATAGGATATGTATCTACATAAAGAAAGATTTATTATAAAGGTCCAAGTCTGAAGGTCTGAGAACCAGGAGAGCCAGGGATGTAAGTCCTATTCCAAGTGACGGAGGAGACCAGTGGCCCAGCTTGAAAACAGTCAGCAGGGAGAGTGAATTCCCTCTTACCGGCCTTTTGTTCTATTCCGGCCTCCAACTGATTGGACGAGGCCCACCCACATCAGACAAGGCAATCTACTTCATTTGGTCTACTGATAAAATTGTTAATCTCTAGAAACGCCCTCACAGACACACTCAGAATGTTTTACCAAATGTCAGGGCACCTTGTGACTCTTGTCAAGTTGACATGTCAGGTTAACCAGCACATGCAGCGTTTCCATTCCTGAGAAGGCCAGTCTTCCACAACCTCTCCTGACTTGTTCTTGGTCAGCACAGCTGTTCTTGGCCCTTCTTTATAAATCAGTTGTCAGATTCAACAGAAGCATGTTTGGGATTTTGACTCCATGCATCAGTTTAGGGAGAAATCAGCCCCTTTGTGAGAATCCTTCCAGTCCATGGATATGGGATGACTTTCCATTTACTTAGGTATTTAAAAAAAAATGTCTTTCAGTACTTTCAAAAATGTCTCCATAAATGTTTTATAAGTTTCTGTTACGTATATTGCCAGGTGTTTTACAAATATATGTATGTATTTTTAACTTAAAAAAATGCTAGTTTCTTGGGGGTGCTTGGGTGGCTCAGCCGGTTTCTTAACTTTGGCTCTGACTTTGGCTCAGGTCACGATATCATGGTTTGTGAGTTTGACCCCTGCATCGGGCTGTCTGCCGTCAGCATGGATCCTGCTTCAGATCCTGTCTCCCCCTTTCTTTCTGCCCCTCCCCCACTCAGGCTCACATTTCCCACCCCCCCCAAATAAATAAACATTAAAAAAAATCACACCTACATTTTATTAAGAATACACAAACATTAAAGCATGGATTGATTATAGTAGATAGCAGAGCAAAACCATTAGCTATAATTTGCATGTTAGGTAAATAGTAGCCCTTTGAGTAGAATGGGAACAATCAGTGATGTTCATCCATACTATCACATAATATACACGTAAGAAAGTTCGTGGTCGTACTGGTTTTATTGCTTAGCCATTTCATCTGTCTCATGTTCAATGCACAGAAATAAAACATAACGTGAAGAAAACTGTGTCCTCGTTATTAGTCACAATGAAGAGGGTTTGCTGTGTCCTGCAGGCCTGGAAGTATTATACAGTAGGGAGCCCTTGTGGGCTTACGGGGCTCAATGTACTGTTTTGATGCTGAGACACTTAAATAGAATCTCATCCATACTTCATGACTGAACTAGCTGTGGAAGCCTTGCATCTCACTAAATAGGAAAAGACCCTAACAAAGAAATACATCAATCAATCTGTCCAGATAGTCTATCTTTAGGCTTGTACTTTAGTGTAAGGTAGGAAAAGGGGCCCTTTCTTTCTTTTATTTTTTTTTAACATTTTTTTAAATGTTTATTTTGAGAGAGAGAGAGAAGGAGAGGGTGAGCGGGGGAGGGGCAGAGAGAGAAGGAGAGACAGAGAATCCCAAGCAGGCTCTGCATTCTTAAGCGCAGAGCCCAGTGTGGGGCTCGAACCCATGAACTGTGACATCATGACCTGAACTGAAACCAAGAGTAGGATGCTTAACCACTGAGCCACCCAGGCATCCCCAAAGGGGCCCTTTCCTGAGCACATGGACACAAGTATTATTGTGGCTTAAAGACTGCTGGATTGGTATTGTGTCTGGTTTCATGAAAAGAAGTATTGAAACCACTGTCAGATTAAGAAAATTCCACGGCTCATCTTAGTACTTCAAACAATGGAGCAAGTGCCTCTTCTAGGCTGACCGTACGCGCTGAATTGACATTGGTACTTTGTTAGCAATTTCCAGGTACACCATAAGGCAGTGTTAGCCACAGCTATCCCCAGTACGTATTATCTCTTAACTGGATGCTTGCACCTTTTGACCATCTTCACCCGAGTCCCCCAACCCCAACCCTCCACCTCTGCTAACTACAAATCTGGTCTCTTTTTCTTATGAGTATGGTGTGTTTTTTTGAGATTCTACATACGAGTAAGATCATGTTGTATTCGTCTTTCGCTGTCTGGCATATTTCACTTAGCATAATGCCCTCAAGGTCCATCCATGTTGTTGCAAATGGCAGGATTTCCTTCTTTTTTATGCTGAATAATATTCCATTACATATATATATATCCACTACATTTTCTTTATCTTTTCGTCTGTCGATGGACACTTAGGTTGTTTCCATGTCTCGGCTGTCATAAATAATGCTGCAGTAAACATAGGAAGGCAGGTATGTCTTCGGCATAGTGATTTTGTTTCTAAAAGCAGATGATTAAATTGAACCCCCTGGTAGGTGTTAGGTAACAGATAATAAATTTTTTTTAATGTTTATTTTTGAGAGAAAGAGCACGTGTGAGCAGGGGAGAGGGGCAGAGAGAGAGACACACACAGAACTTGAAGCAGACTCCAGGCTCCAAGCTGTGTGCACAGAGCCCGACGCGAGGTTCAAACTCAAGAACTATGAGATCATGACCTGAGCCGAAGTCGGATGCTCAACCGACTGAGCCACCCGGGAGCCTCACGTTTGCTTTTACGAAAGTCTGAGTATGCTGCCTGGTTTGTTTCAAGGGCAAGAACAGGTAAAAAAACTGGGTCTGAGGGGTGCCTGGATGGCTCAGTCGGTTGAGCATCCGACTTTGGCTCAGGTCATGATCTCCTTGTTCCTGAGTTCAAGCCCCATGTTGGGCTCTGTGCTGACAGCTTGGAGCCTGGAGCCTGCTTCGGATTCTGGGTCTCCCTCTCTCTCTCTGCCCCTCCCCAGCTTGTGCTCGCTCTCTCTCTCTCTCTCTCTCTCAGAAATAAACAAACCTAAAAAAAAAAAAAAAAAGAAACAGGGTCTCAGAGCATATGCTCTGGAGTAGGTCATTGGCCACTTTCATAGTGGGTGGCTCCAGCTCCACATGACACAGCAGTACTTGGGGCCCCTCAACACGTGGTGACTTTTTAAAAAGATATTTCTTTATTTATTTTGAGACAGAGAGCATGAGCAGGGGAGGGGCAGAGAGAGAGAGAGGGAGAGAGAGAATCCCAAGCACAGACCCCACTCGGGGCTTGGTCTCCTGAACTGTGAGATCACGACCTGAGCCAAAATCAAGAGTCAGACGCTTAACGGACTGAGCCACCCAGGCGCCTCTGCCTCTAAATCATTGTTAAATAGAAGCGATAGACATTCTGCCTTATTCTTGGCCTTAAAGTGTGTGCTTTCCATGCTGGCCACTAAGAGTGGTGGTGGCCGTAGGGTTTCGTAGAATTTCTTTCCTGCAAAGGTTCCCTCTGTCCCTAGTTTGCTAACGTCAAATTTTATTTTAATGCCTTTTCTAGCTCTGTTGAGAGGGTCGGTCATACTGTTTATTAACCTTCCATCTGTTAAGGTGGTGAAATTGTGTTAGATTTTTCTGATATTAAACCAACTTTGCGTCTGTGCAACAAAAGGAGCGTGATTGTCATTGTGTTATCCTGTCATGCACGTCGCTGCCTCTATTTTGATGATAGTTATTTAGGGCTTTCTTTGGTTGTCTGAGTGACCAAGATTGCTTTGTCCTTTTCCTACTTTGTGATATCTTTGTCAGGCTTTGGTAAATGTTTTACCACTAAGACACGTTTTCCTTATAAAGCAAGGTAGGGTAGGTTCCTTATTTGCCGTGTCTCTGGAACAGTTTGTATCAGATTAGAATTATTTGTTTCCTAAATGTTTAGTAGAACATGCTGAAACTCACCGGATCCTGATGTTTTCTGTGTGCAAAGAGTAAAAAAAAAAAAAAAAAAAAAAACAAGAAAAAACTATTGATGTTCAGTCCTTTGAACAGTGATAGGACTACATAGTCTTTGTTTCCTCTTGGGTTAGTTTTGATATGGGTCGTATTTCTGGGATTTTTTCCACTTCATCCAAGTTTTCAAATTATTGTCCCAACGTTGCTCACAGCATTCTCTTACTATCTTTTTAATCTTTGAATCGTGTAGACATGGTCCCCTTTTCATTCTTTTCTTTCTTTCTTTTTTTTGTGTTTTTCAGCCCAACATGGGGCTTGAACACATGACCCTGAGATCAAGATCTTAGCTGAGATCAAGAGTCAGACATGCAACCCACTGAGCCACCCCAGCGCCCCAGTGTTTATTCTGTAACAATCTACTTTAGCTGCCTCCCACAGGC